GCCCAGGATAAGCTGTTTCATCTTGCGCTGAAAAGTAGAACCAGAGGACACGGCCCGCGATTGAAAGGGGGGTCAATTCAGAACAAATCTACGGAAGCGCTACTCGGTGAGCGAGTGGTAAACTTCTGGAAACAGGCTCCCGAGGGAGACAGACGGTGGAAGCAGCAAATGTTGTTTCTTTCAAGAACAAATGAGATAGGTTCCTGCAAGAAAATAATATCTGGGGATATATAGTATATAGCTTGGGTCACGACATGTTGAGCGATGGCCGGGATGGTGGAAGGCGAACCTGAATGGTCCTTGTCGGCAAATTCTTATGTTCTTAGGACATCAGCAGAGAGAAATTCCCTTCTCTGGTTGAGTTGTCAGGAAGTGTGATGACATTAATAAGAGGCATCGCATTGTCGGAGGTGCCGTCCATTGGGTGAGACGTTGAATCCAGGTCCCAGGCGGACGCTAAGGCACAATTGAGAGGAGAAAGGTTCTCCCATAAAAACGTCTCAAACCTAAGTATATAATCCTTGCATTTGATACGGCGCCTTCTCCCGTCTTCAAGACGCCTCAAAGCGCTTCACAGAATATACTGCAAAGCGAATTGTATGCTTTGTGGGCGCTTGTTGTGCCCAGCGGCGTCCCAACAACAGTCGTGGACCGAGTGACCAATTTTATTTATTTATTTCGAAGGTATTATTACCCCCGGAAAAGCGATCCACTAATCGGCTAACAACTGGGTTCCTACGTACTGCCAAGGTGAACAGAGGTGTGTGGAGTACGGAAACTTGCCGAAGGTTTCACCCTGCCCGCGAATCGAACCCACATCCTCTCCCTTGCGAGATGAGCGCACTAACCACTAACCACTAACCCACTGGACTCACGTAGAGTATGGCTGAAGCAAGATAAACCCTTAGCTTAGGTTGGCTCCTCATTAAACCATTTACGTTGCATGTGACGTGCTGAGCCCTGGTCTGCAAATTGAATAACTTGATCTTTAATATTAGATTTGCTGACCCTGTCATTGCCAATTTTCTCACAGGATGTGTGTGTAGTCCTGGCCTGAGACGTGGGGAGATGGGGGATGGGAGGGTGGGGTGGGGGGAAGAGAGAGGGAGCGAGAGAGAGTGAGAGCGAATGGGAAGAAAGAGCAAGAGAAGGGGAGAGAGTGAATCCGCATAGGAGGGGGGGAGAGAGATGGGTAGGGGGGGGGGGAGGGGGGAGAGAATCAGTGTGGGGAGGGGGAGAGAGAGAGAGAGAGAGAGCGAAGGGGGGTGGGGGAGAGAGCGAAGGGTGAGAGAGTGAGGGAGAAAGAGAGGTGGGAGAAAGAGGGGAGAGAATCAGTGTGGGGTGGGCGGAGGGCGGTGGGGGGGAGAGAGAGAGAGAGAGAGAGAGAGAGAGAGAGGGGGGAGGTAAGAATAAAGGAATAGAGGCAGCATACAGCTGTTGGAACAACAACAGCAGCAGCAACAAACGGCACTTGTTTGCACAGGGCCTTTCCTCTTAGGAAGATGTCCCGCGGCTTATTATTATATTGTCAGTCTATCAGGTTCTTGGCAGATATTTCAATTCAATTGGGATCAGGAAATGAGTTGATTTTTATAGCTCCATCACGCGCCAATTTGTGAAAGCGTTTCCCTGCGACGCGGAGTCCTGGAGCCTCGACGGTTAAGGGCTCTCGCCTCGCGAGCGAGCGAGAGCACCTGGTTTTGATTCCCGGGGTCAGGGAGAATTCCCGGTCGGCCAGTTTCCTCGCTCCGCACGCCTCTCTGGCTGACCTAGCGGCCAGTAGTCGATTGGCGGATCGCTCTTCCGGGGGGAGGTGGGGGAATAATCCCTTCGAGAAAAATAAATAATAATAATTGGGTCGCTCGATCCACGACGGTTTGTGAGACGCTGCGGCGGGCAATTGGCTGCCGGGTTTCGCCCACAAAATATGCAGTCAATTTACCTTACGCTATATTCTGTGAAGAGTTTTGAGACGCCTCGAAGACGCGATGAGGGGCAATATCAAATGCGAGGATTATTACTGCTATGTTTAACTATATGTGGTCGGCCCACAGCCAGGAGATCAGCCATTAATCTGGGGGATTGTCGGCCAGGACACCGGGAAAAGCTCCCTGATCTTTTCCACCAGCTCCGTGGGATCGTTCAGCGTCCACCTGAACAGAGACAGACTGGACCTCAGTTTAATGTCCACTCTAAAGGATGGCATCTCCGACAGTGCTCCTCACAGCACTGCACTGTGGAGCGTAACCTGGACTGTGATCTTTAAGAGGCCCGATGTGGGGCTCCATCCCACAACCTCCTGACCAAACCTTTCTGTTGCGCTCTTTCCGTCTGTCTCACTTTCTGTCTCTCTCTCACTCTCTCTGTCTCTCAATCTCTCACTCTCTGTCTTACTCCCTCCGTCAGACTATCTCCCTGTCTCACTCTGTCTTTCTTCCGCTCTCCGTCAGTCTCTCTCCCTGTCTCACTTCCTCTGTCTCACTCCCTGTGCCTGTCTCACACTCTTGTTTGTCTCTCTCCCTCTCCCTCTCTGTCTGTCTCACTCCCTCTGTCTGTCTCACTCCCTCTGTCTGTCCCACTCCCTCTGTGTCTCACTCCCTCTGTCTGGCTCTCTCCGTCTCATTCTCTATCTCCCTGTCTCAGTCTTTCTCTCTCACTTCGTCTGAATCACTCACTCTGTCCGTCTCTATCTCTCTCTCTCCTCCCGTCTCACTCTCTACGTCTGCCTCACTCTGTCTCTTTCCGTGACTCGCTCTCGCTCTCTGTCTCTCTCTGTCAGTCTCAGTCTCTGGATCCACTGCTGTTGGTGTCCTTGAGTGTGACACAGTGTGTATCTGGGAGCTCGTGCCAGGCAATGGATACGGTCATAATCTCTCGCTGATACGATGTTCTGCTGCGGCATTGATTAGATGCACACGCGCATCTCCTTCACCTTTACTCTGACCCGCGCTCAGCTCCCGTCTCACCTCGGCTTGCGGCGAGACGTCTCACAAGTGCAACACTTTTGACGGGCCGGTTCGCACGCAGCAGTGTCCCACAAACAGCCATGGAGCGAGTGACCGACCGTGCATAAGGGGGGGGGGTTCGCCCACAAATATACGGTCAATTCCCTTTACAGTCTATTCTGCGACGCGCTTTGAGACGTCGAGATCAAGGCGCTGTATCAAATGCAAGGATTATTATTATTATTATTATTATTGTCGGCCAGGACATCGGGAGAGAGAGAGAAACTTCCTTCTCTTTTCCAATAGCCCCGCGGGACCTTTAACGTCCACCTGAACAGGCACAGACGGGACCTCAGAAGGACAGCGTCTCCAACAGTGCAGTGCTTCCCCAGCAATAGACTGGAGTGTCACCTTAGACCGCATGAGTTTCATGGGGCTTGAACCACAACCTCGAGAGGTGAGAGCGCTACCATTGACCCACATATTGCTGTGCAGTCTTAGGAAATCGAGGGTTAAGTAAATAATTCCTGTAAACACGCCGGGCATTAAACCTGTGACCAATGATTCCTTATTCCTCACCGCGTGACTCAGAACCTCTCAGCCAGGATAAAGTGACCCTTATCACTGCTAACGCCAGCATGGACACGATGGGGAGAGAGAGAGAGAGTGCAGAGAATGGGGGTTAGAGTAGAGAGCTCCAGTGGGGGAGCGAACACCAGCACAGACACGATGGGGAGAGAGAGAGAGAGTGCAGAGAATGGGGGTTAGAGTAGAGAGCTCCAGTGGGGGAGCGAGCACCCGCACAGACACGATGGGGAGAGAGCAGGGAATGGGGGTTAAAGTAGAGAACTCCAGTGGGGGAGCGAGCACCCGCACAGACACGATGGGGAGAGAGAGAGAGTGCAGAGAATGGGGGTTAGAGTAGAGAGCTCCAGTGGGGGAGAGAAGAGGGTACCACACTCACTAACCTTGTTGCACAGCCTCTGAGCAGCGAGCAGGTTGGGGGAAGAACTGACAAACTCGAAACTCAGCGTTCTTCACAGCGGCAACTCACGGATCCAGCCATTAACCCCGTCACTCCCACTACCCCAAGCATGTGGAGTCCTGCGGCTCAGTGGTCAGAGCACTCGCTTTGCAAGCGAGAGACCTGAGTTCAATTCCAGGCAGAGGGCGAAACCTCGGGCAAGTTTCCTTACTCCACACAGAGCCTAATAATAATCCCTCCAAAAAAAAACACAATAATAAATTGGTCATTTTCAGTCTACGACTGTTTGTGGGACATTGCTGTGCGCAATTGGCTGCCGCGTTCGCCCACAATTATACAGTCAATTCACTTTACAGTGTGATCTGTGAAGCGCTTTGGGACGTCCTCCCGACGTGAAAAGCGCTATATCAAATGCAAGGATTATTATTATTATTATTATTATTGCTGTGCGCAATCGGCCGCCGCGTTCGCCCACAAATATACAGTCAATTCACTTTACAGTGTGTCCTGTGAAGCGCTTTGGGACGTCGAGAAGACGTGAAAAGCGCTATATCAAATGCGAGGATTATTATTATTAACCCTGTCTCTCCCGCTAACCCAGCCATTAACCTCTTCTCTCCCACTACCCACTAACCCACCCATTAAGTCTGTTACTTCCGCCACCCGCTAACCCAGCCATTCGCGCCTTCATTTCCAGCACCCGTTAACCCGCCATTAACCTTTTCTCTCCTGCTACCCACTAACCCAGCCATTAACTGTGTCACTCCCAATGCCCGCCAACCCAGTCATTAACTCCTTCACTTCCAACACCTGTTAACCCAGCCATTAACCCCTTCTCTCTCACGAATCCAGCCATTAACCCTGCCACTGCTGATACCCCAACCGTTAACTCAACCCGATTACACCAGCCACACTGCTCATCCTCACTGTTAACCCCTTTTTTTCCAACTCGTTCCAAATTATTACCCCCCCCAACACACACACACACATCTCTCTCTCTGCTGCCCCGGTCTCAGTAACAGAATAGTGGATGAGTGTGCGGTGTGTTAGGGCCGAAACAAAGTCACGCATTTGATAAAAGTCATTATTTAATAAACATCCAGCAAACGTGGCACATGATAGCAATCCTCCTTACCCGCCTGTGGCGAAAAAAATGGCACAATCTCACCTCACTCTCAGTCAGTGTAGAGACCCTCACTCTTTCACAGTGCTTGACTGGTCATTGTGGTCGAATGTTTCCGTAGCAAACTGTGTGACAATTCTGCGCAGAGCAGCGTCTCACACACACACACACACACATACAGCGAAGAGGGTTGGATCTGGGGATTCTATCTTCAAATCCTACTCCTTTTCATCGGGGTCTTAATTGTTACCTCTGCCACTCACCACCCCGTCAAGCTTGGTGTCTGACTCTGTCCCTGTGCAGCCCCCCATACCCTGTGTGAGGAGTGCCATATAAATGACAGTTGTCGTTGTTGTTGTTGGCCCAGAAGAGAACTCGTTTTCTCGGGCCAAGGGAAGGCTGTCGCTGGGAGACCGAAGGCTATGTGTAGCTGATGGAAAGGGTGCAGCTGTATGCCCCCGATTCCCAGGACAGGACCCGGATCAGGATTGTGTCCCTGGGGCCAACTTCCCCCCCCGTCTTGATGTCAGCATCAAACTGAACGAGAACAATAACATTGTAAACCGGAGACACTCATCAAGAGAGACACAGCCATTAATTCCCTCCAACACACTTCTCCAGCATCAGCGATTGTGCGGAGTTGGTTTTATACATGTGCGTTCCCCCCCGGATTTGGTTTACAAAATATGGTTTCCCCTTACTGGTGGACACAGTCACTACACCAACGGCAATCACAGCCCAGCCCAGGATTTGCATCGTTGTCTCCCTCCGTCACCGTGTGACCCACTGAAGGCCTTCACATAAACAGTGGGTGAAATGTTTGTGTGGGTGGGCTGGTTTGGGTGTGGATAGGTGGTTGAGGGTGAGGGCCAGTTGGATGTGAGTTGGGTCTGAAGTGGATGTGGTAGGTGGGTTGGGAGGGAGGTCATAGGCTGCAGTTGTCCACACAGGGCTCGCTGGCCTGGAATTGTTGGTAGATACTGACCATTGGGAACATGACCAGGGCCCCGAGCAGGGAGCCGGCCTGGATGGCAACCCCACACCATATCAGCGCCTTGTGGCCTGCCTCGTGCAACAGGCTGCCCAACGTCACCTTCAGGTAGGAGAAGACACCAGTGAAACTAATCCATCCCAACACCTGGTACAGAGAGAGAGAGAGAGAGATAGAGAGTAGTTTATAGTGGAGTCCTGTAGTGTAGTGTTTAGAGCACTCGCCTTGCAAGCGAGAGGACCTGGGTTTGATTCCCAGGCGGGGCAAAACCTTAGGCAAGTTTCCTCACTCCACATGCCTCTGGTTACTTAGCAATAAGTAGGAACCCAGTTGTTAGTCGATTGGCGGATCGCTGTTCCACTGGAAATAATCCCTCTATATAAAAAAAATTGGTCACTCAATCCACAACTGTTTGCGGGACATCGTTGGGTGCAATTGGCTGCTGTGTTTCGCCTACAAAATAGTCAATTATAGTATATTCTGTGAAGCGCTTTGAGACGTCCCAGCAATGTGATAAAGCGCAATACCAAATGCAACAATTATTATTATTATTGTTATTATTAAGTCTTGGCCTCGTCTGCTGAGCGCAGCTTCACTCCAACAGTAACATCCTGGGATGTGGGACAGGGGTTGAACGCCTGTTTCCTGTCAGTGTGATCCTTAGGCCAGTTCATTCCCACAGATAGTTTGCTCAGCAACTCAAGGGCACAGATATCAGGAGATTACCAAATAGAGCAAAGGGAGAGATTGGATGTATTTTACACTGTGGTTAGATGTGGAACCCTGGTTCAGACAGAATCCATATTTAGCTAAAAAGAGGGAATGAGATAAATATCTGATAAGGAGAAATATAAAAGTGAGGGACGAGGTGGTGTGACATAATAATAACTGTATTTGGTATAACTCCTTATCCCCATTAGAAGGACATCTCACAGCGCTTGCTTCACAGGATTTAATAATAATAATAATAATAATCCTTGCATTTGATATAGCGCTTTTCACGTCTTCTAGACGTCTCAAAGCGCTTCAAAGGAGTGACTGTGTACTTTGTAGGCAAATGCGGCAACACAATTCCGCACAGCAATATCCCGCAAACAGCAATGGAGAGAGGTTTCAATTCCATTTGGGGGGAATTGTTGGCCAGGATACAGAGAGAGAGAGAAACTACCTTCTCTTTTTGAATAGCCTCGCTATTATTATTTAACTTTGTTTTTAAAAATAAATTATTACTCCCGATCTTTAACGTGCACCTGACCAGGCAGACCGGACGGACCTTGGTTTAACGTCTCACCAAAAGGACGCCACCTCCGACAATCAAACAGCCCCCCAGAGCTGTATTGTAGTGTCAATTTAGGCGATGTAATTCCAAGTCCTGAGGTGGGGCTTGAACCCACAACCTTCTGACTCGGAGGCAAGAGTGCTACCGACTGAGCCCGGCTGACACACACACACACACTGAGCCCGGCTGACACACACACACACACTGAGCCCGGCTGACACACACACACACTGAGCCCGGCTGACACACACACACACACTGAGCCCGGCTGACACACACACACACTGAGCCCGGCTGACACACACACACACACTGAGCCCGGCTGACACACACACACACACACTGAGCCCGGCTGACACACACACACACACACTGAGCCCGGCTGACACACACACACACACACTGAGCCCGGCTGACACACACACACACTGAGCCCGGCTGACACACACACACACTGAGCCCGGCTGACACACACACACACACACACACTGAGCCCGGCTGACACACACACACACACTGAGCCCGGCTGACACACACAGATGTTGGGCGAATGGCCTTGTGTAGTGACTGTTTGCGCCGCACTTACCACCAGCGTGTCCCCTGACACCTCTCTCAGCAGCGGGGGACAGGGGCTCAGAGCTGCCAGAGCCAGGATGTAGGCACCAAAGATGGTCCCGAGCACAGTCAGGATCCCCAGAACCACATCCGACCTGCAACAAACACACCACAGTTACCAACCCACCAACAGCCTCCCTCCCACAGCTCTCAGCCACTGAATGCTAGATTGAGCTGTTAAATAATGGTTTAAGGTGATGAAAAAAAAACTTTGAATAATCCTTGCATTTGATATAGAGCCTTATCACATCTTCGAGACGTCTCAAAGCGCTTCACAGAATAATCTGTAAAGTGTAGTGACTATATTTTCTGGGCAAAACACGGCAGCCAATTGCGCACAGCAGTGTCCCACAAACAGTCGTGGATTGACTGACCAAGATATTATTTAACTTTTTTTTGAAAAAGGAATTATTACCCCCGGAAACGGTCCGCCAATCGACTAACAACCGGGTTCCCATTTACTGCCAGGCTAACAGAGATGTGCGGAGTGAGGAAACTTGCCTAACGTTTCGTCCCACCCGGGAATCGAACCCGGGTCCTCTTGTTTGCGAGGCGAGCCCTCTAACTAAAACGCCACGGGACTCCATGACAACAGTAATACACAGTCAATTCACTTTACAGTATATTCTGTGAAGCGCTTTGAGTCGTCGTGGGGATGTGATCCAGCACTGGAACAAATGCAAGGATTATTATATTATTGTTTGATAAAAGTGCCTTTCACGTTGGGAGGACGTTCTCAAAGGGCTTCACGGGATATACTGTAAAGAGTAGCGGCTGTGTGTATTTGTGGGCAAATGCGGCAGCCAATTTTCACACAGCGACGCCCTACAAACAGCCGTCAAGTGAGTGATCAGTTTTTAAATCTGGGGAATTGCCGACCAGGACATCAGCAGAGAAAGAGAGACAGAGAGAGAGAAAGAGAGAGAGAGAAACTCTTTGCCTCTCTTTCCCAATAGCTGCGGGATCTTTACCAGACGTCTCGAAGTTTCACGTCTCATTCAAAGGATGGCGTCTCCGACTGCGCAGAGCGGCCCCAGCACTGAGCCGGGGTGTCAGCCTGGACTGGGCGCCTCTCCACTCTCCCCCTTGTCCATTGCCCTCTCCCCTGCCCCCACCTTCACCCTCACCTCCCACTCCATTTGACCTCCCTTATGCCCTCTCCCCTTCCTGCTCTCCCTCTCCCCCTTGTACCTTCCCCTGCTCCCCCCTCCCACTCGCCCCTCACTTCCCTCTTGCCCCTTGCCCCCCTCACTGTGGCTGTCCCTCACCTGCACAGGATGAACATGGCTATGAAGCAGGCGATGGGGTTGGCCAGGTTGCCGAGGACGACAGCCAGATGGAAGGTCAGGAAGCCGTAGGGCAGACAGGAGTAGGTCTGGATGGAGGGCAGGACCCCATTGACCAGGGCGTTGGAGAAGCCCATCAGAGCCAGCAGGTACATGTTTCTGGACGTCCAGAACGTGGGTAGGGGTTGTGGCTGGGGAGCCTGTTTGCTGGCCTCTGAATCATCCTCAGAGAGGGGGTCCGACTCCACGATGTCCCCTGCTCCCCCGGGCCCCGAGCCTCCAGGGGCCCGAGGCATGACCACCTGCGTCAGGGTGGTGAAGGCCAGCCAGGACACCAACAGGGTCGCCAACAGGAACCAGTAGAAGGTGGAGGCCTCGAAGTTCTCCTGTAGGTACTCAGGCCGCAGCTCGGAGGCGTTCCCCAGGGATTGGTTGCGGCACTCCAGCTTGCCCACGCCTTGTGCCAGGGCAGCCATGCAGGGCACCAGTGCGCTCAGCCCCTGCCCCACAAAGAAGGTGCGGATGTACCTAGGCGGCAAGCGGTACATGAAGGGCAGGAAGGTGACGTTGGAAGTGCAGCAGGCCAGTGCCAGCACGAAGGCCAGGCTGAGATAGGCCACACTGACCTGCCGCTCGCCAGCAGACACCGTCCGATGCCAGAAGCAGGCCAGCAGACCCGAGGCCACCACGCTCAGCCCCTGCACCAAGTGGATCATGTAGCCCTCGTTCAGCAGCCCCGGGGCCAGGCGATAGGCCAAGGTCACAGCCAGAGGCCCCACGTTAGCCAGTGCGATCAGCACTGTCAGGTACGCTGGCAGGTTCCATCCTGTGGACAGAAGAACATAAGAATTTGCTGGGCAAAGTTCATGGCCGTCGCTCAACATGTTGTGTCTCAAACAAACACTGTATCCCCAGATATCATTTCCTAGCAGAACTCTATCTCATTTGTTCTTGAAAGAAACAACATTTGCTGCTTCCGCCGTCTGTTTCCTGAAGTTTACGACTCGCTCACTCAGGTAGTGTTTCCGCAGATTTGTTTTGAATTTGCCCCCCTTCGATCGCAGGCCGCGTCCTCTGGTTCTATTATTCAGCACAAGATAAAACAGATTATCATGGTCCACATTATCTCCTCCGCCAACTCATTCTTACCACAATCTTTGAGTTGTGGAGTTTCTCTGTCCCTGTCTTACCTTCCTAGTGTGTACAGGGCATGCCTGGCCTACACTTCTTGTAGTGTGCCTGTAAGTATAGTTTATTAGGTACATTATAATAATAATAATAATTATTCTTACATTTGACACAGCACCTTATCACGCGCTTCACAGAATATGCTGAAAAGTGAATAGTCTGTACTTGCCTTGGGCGAAACGCGGCAGCCAACTGTGCACATCAGTGTCCCACCTGCTCTAACCACTAAGCTACAGGACTCCATAGTTTACGTATAGTTTATTAGGTGCATTAGTTACTAACTCTAACGCAGATTTCCAGTGACGTACTCCATACACCTCTGCCCGGAGTGAACCTGTTTTGTGAAGTGCCTGAGGTTTACCTGTAGCGTTACCTATAGAGTGGCGGCTGTTATCTGTGACTGCGGCTGTAGTGTCTTTAATCGTGTGCCTGTAGCACACCTGTAGCACAGGAGTCCTGTAAGCTCAGTGGTTAGAGCACTCGCGTCACAAGCAAGAGGACCTGGCTTCGAATCCCTGGCGGGGCAAAATGTGGGGCACGTCTCCTTACTCCCCACATCCCTTTACCCAGCAGTATGTTGGTAGTCGATCGGCGGATCGCTTTTCCGGGGCTACAAATCCCTCCGAAAAACAAAAATGGTAGAAAAACAATAACCCGGACACTCGATCCGCGACTGTCTGCGGCGACGCTGCTGTGCGCCATTGGCTGCCGCTTTTCTCCCGCAAAACACACAGTCGGTTCACCTCACAGCATATTCTGCGGAGCGCTTTGAGACGTCTCGAAGCCGTGATAGGGCGCGGTGTCAAATGCGAGGTTATTTATTTATTATTACAACTGCGGTGTGTCTCGTGTGCGCCTGCGGCGAGGGCTTGATATGCGCCACTCACCTTCCGGGAGCACTTTTGTCACCACTGGAAGCTCGACCCACAGGGCGTTGACCGAGACCCAGGAGCCCATTCCGAAGAGCGCCACCAGGAGATGAGTGAGGAGAGGGTTAGCCAACGTTAGCTCTGCCATCCTCCTCGCTCAGCTGGAGGGGGTGGTGGGGGTGGTGGGGAAGGGTGGGGGGGGAGAGAGAGAGAGAGAGAGAGAGAGAGAGAGAGAGAGAGACAGGTGTCAAGTCTCAGGTACGAGGCTCAGATTTGTTCTGAATTTACCCGCCTTCGATCGCGGGCCGTGTCCTCTGGTTCTACTGTTCAGCACAAGATAAAAGGGTTCAAGCCCCCACGTCAGGTCGTGGAATCACATAGTCTAAGCCGACATTGAGGGTGTGTTGCGTTGTTAAACCGAGCCAGTTCGGGTGGACGTTAAAGATCCCGTGGGGTGTATTCGAAAAGAGGAGGGTAGTTTCTCTGGCCAACCATCCCTGGCCAATCCCGGGTGTCCTGGCCAACCATCCCCCCAAATAAAATTGGTCACTCACTCTACGGCTGTTTGCGGGACACTGCTGCGCGCAAACTGGCCGCAGCGTTTCACCCGCAAAGTACGATCACTGCACTTTACAGTAAGTCCTAAGAAGCCCTTTGTGACATCCATATCAAATGCAAGGATGATTATATATAAACAAGAACAACAACATTACACTGTATAGCTCCTTTCACCTTGCGTGGACGTTCCCGCATCGAGGGGACAATCAGCGTTTCGGACCCGGGCTGAGGGTCGGGGTCAGGATCGGGGAGGGTGGAGGCCAGGCGGGGGGGAAGGAGGGCGATCGAAGGCATGGTCGAAGAGGAGGGTCTCGAGACAGGTCTTGGAGGAGGCAAAGGGAGGGGACTGCAGGACGGAGTACCAGAGGGTGAGGGCAGAGTGCCCGAAGGCCCGTCCACCAGTTGCGGGGCGGGGGGGGGTCAAGGCGGGGGACGTGAAGCAGGCGGAGCCCACTGAGCGGAGGGAGCGGGCAGATCGACGGGGTGGGGGGGGGGTGGAGGCTTATGAGGCTGTGGAAGTAAGGGGGAAGGGAGCACTTCCCAACTCCTGGATTAGGAACGTGGAGTCCTGTAGCTCAGTGGTTAGAGCACTCGCTTTGCAAGCGAGAGACCTGAGTTCAATTCCAGGCAGAGGGCGAAACCTTGGGCAAGTTTCCTTACTCCACACAGAGCCTAATAATAATCCCTCCAAAACCAAAAACAATAATAAATTGGTCATTTTCAATCTACGACTGTTTGTGGGACATTGCTGTGCGCAATTGGCTGCCGCGTTCGCCCACAAATATACAGTCAATTCACTTTACAGTGTGTTCTGTGAAGCGCTTTGGGACGTCCTCTCCCGACGTGAACAGCGCTATATCAAACGCGAGGATTATTATGATTATTATTATTATTATTATTATTATTATTATTCTGCCGCTGTAACTGTTTTGTCACTGTCTTTCCGGGGGCGGAAACGTTGACCGCTTCCTGCCTTCCTGCTCAAGTGGGCACTGCTCTGCGCGTCTTTGTGTCGGGTGCGTTTGCCAGCGAGCGCCGGTTACACGCGCACACACACGCGCGCACACGCACGCACACACACTCACACGCACAGACACTCGCTCGTCTGCGCACGTCTCAGCTCTGGGCACGGCCACACTGTGGAACGCGCAGCGAGCCCCAACCAAACCAAACCGAACCGAACCGAACCAAAGCAAACGTACCTGCTCTCTCCAACCGGTCTGGCGTGTGCGCAGTGAGACGAGCAGCACTCTGTGACCAGTGGGATCATCAGCAGTCATCAGCCCGGCTTCACACTTCCTCCTGTCCCTACGCGACAGGGGCGCTCGAATGGAAAGTTGCGACGCGGAGTCCTCGAGGGGGGACTGTGGGCGGAACACACACAGACAGAGCTGGAGCGGGGGCTCTGGGTGTCACACACAGACACAGACGCAGACAGACCCGGAGCGGGGGCTCTGGGTGTCACACACAGACACAGACGCAGACAGACCCGGAGCGGGGACTCTGGGTGTCACACACAGACACAGACGCAGACAGACCCGGAGCGGGGGCTCTGGGTGTCACACACAGACACAGACGCAGACAGACCCGGAGCGGGGACTCTGGGTGTCACACAGACACAGACACAGACAGACCCGGAGCGGGGGCTCTGGGTGTCACACACAGACACAGACGCAGACAGACCCGGAGCAGGGGCTCTGGGTGTCACACACAGACGCAGACGCAGACACAGACAGATCCGGAGCGGGGACTCTGGGTGTCACACACAGACGCAGACAGACCCGGAGCAGGGGCTCTGTGTGTCACACACAGACAGACCCGGAGCGGGGGCTCTGGGTGTCACACAGACACAGACGCAGACAGACCCGGAGCGGGGGCTCTGTGTGTCACACACAGACAGACCCGGAGCGGGGGCTCTGGGTGTCACACAGACACAGACGCAGACAGACCCGGAGCGGGGGCTCTGTGTGTCACACACAGACAGACCCGGAGCGGGGGCTCTGGGTGTCACACAGAGACACAGACGCAGACACAGACAGACCCGGAGCGGGGGCTCTGGGTGTCACACACAGACGCAGACGCAGACAGACCCGGAGCAGGGGCTCTGGGTGTCACACACAGACAGACAGACCCGGAGCGGGGGCTCTGGGTGTCACACAGACACAGACACAGACAGACCCGGAGCGGGGGCTCTGTGTGTCACACACAGACACAGACAGACCCGGAGCGGGGGCTCTGGGTGTCACACAGACGCAGACACAGACAGACCCGGAGCGGGGGCTCTGTGTGTCACACACAGACACAGACAGACCCGGAGCGGGGGCTCTGTGTGTCACACACAGACACAGACAGACCCGGAGCGGGGGCTCTGTGTGTCACACACAGACACAGACAGACCCGGAGCGGGGGCTCTGGGTGTCACACAGACACAGACACAGACAGACCCGGAGCGGGGGCTCTGTGTGTCACACACAGACACAGACAGACCCGGAGCGGGGGCTCTGTGTGTCACACAGACACAGACAGACCCGGAGCGGGGGCTCTGGGTGTCACACAGACACAGACACAGACAGACCCGGAGCGGGGGCTCTGGGTGTCACACAGACACAGACAGACCCGGAGCGGGGGCTCTGTGTGTCACACACAGACGCAGACGGACCGGGGGCTCCGGGATACCCCCCACTTGACGCACCGGTGTCTGCTGTGACCCGGTGAGGCAGTGCAATGACCCACCCGCTCGCTGACCGGCCCCGGCGGCCCCCGCGGCCCCGGCCAACCAAGGCCGAGCTGGCAGGGTCCGGCCTCTTAAAGGGACAGGCGTTCCATAGCCAGCGACAGGGGACCCGGGTTCAGTTCCCGGGGGGACAGACGGGCGGGCGGGCGGCGGGGGGGGGGGGGGGCGCGAAAAAAACCCGGTCCAGTTCCTTTACTCCGCTCACGCGCCTCTGTCTACCCCTTTCGAGGCGCCTCGAGGACGTGACGAGGCGCTGCTGTGTCGAACGAGAAGTCCCGGGGATCCGGGAAAGGCTCATAATAATAATAATATAATAATAATAATAATAATAATAATCCTCGCATTGGCGGTAGCGCTTTGAAATTCAAGACGATGCCCCCCACCAACCCCCCACCCCCGAGAAGGTCTCGGACCCGAAACCCTCTCTCTCTCTCTCTCTCGCTCTCCATCGACGCCGCCCGACCCTCCGAGCGGTCGTCCGGGTGAGAAGTCCGTGCGTGTTTTTAAACCCGAAAGACCGGGGGGGGGGCGCGCGGGGTTTGGTGGGGGGGTGTGTGGGGTTGGGGGTGTGGGGGGGTGTGTGTGGGGTTGGGGGTGTGGGGGGGGTGGTGGGGGGTGTTGGGGGGGGTGTGGGGTTGGGGGTGTGGGGGTTGGTGGGGGTGTGTGGGGTTGGGGTGTGGGGGGGGTGTGGTGGGGGTGGGGTGTGGGGGGGGGGTGTTGGGGGTTGGGGGTGTGGTGGGGGGGTTGGGGGTGTGGGGGTTGGGGGTGTGGTGGGGGGGTTGGGGGTGTGGGGGGGGGGTGTGGGGGGGGGGTGTGGGGGTGGTGTGGGGGTGTGGGTGGGGGTTGGGGGTGTGGTGGGGGTGTGGGGGTGTTGGGGGGGTGTGGTGGGGGGGTGGGGTTGGGGGTGTGGGGGTTGGGGGTGTGGTGGGGGGGGTTGGGGTGTGGTGGGGGGGTGGGGGTTTAGGGTGGGGGGGGGGTTTCCAGTTGACCCCATATTTTTTGGGGGGTGGGGGGGGGGGGTCCAGTAATTGGCCACCTGCTGAGCTGCTGACGTCTGCAGCCGGTGTTGATGCAGCTCAGGAGGGGCTGTCAGGGCTGTGGCTCTGTGTGACGTGGCTTTCATGTGTGAGTGAGTGAGTGAAGTGAAGTGACTGAGGCTCAGACACACACACATCAGTATAATAACCCCCTGGGGAATTTGTGTCGGCTCAAAGTGGACAGCAGCAGCAGCACGTGACCCGGCCGGTGGAGCGACGTTACCTTTAAAGCCTGCGGCGGCAGCGGCGGCGGAGGTGGTGGGGGGGGGGGCTGGCGGGAGCGGGGCCGGGGAGGAGGAGGAGGAGGAGCCAGAGCAAGAGCGGCGCGCGCAGAGAGCCAAGTGACGTACGTGCGAGCGGGCCAATCAGGAGAGAGAGGGGGGGGAGGAGGGCGGGGCGGCGCTCAGTGAGCGAGTGCGACTGACGGGCGAGCGGACCAATCGGAGCCGCGCGGAGCCGGGCCGGAGGGACGGGCGAGCGGGCCAATCGGAGCGAGGGAGGGCGGGGCAGACGGAGGAGCGGCGGCCAATCGGCGTGCGCGAGCCGCGGTGGTGGGGGCGGGACCCCCGAGGCAGCGATCAGGTGAGTGGGTGACGTGAGCTCGCGGCGGCGGTGGCGGTTTATCCCGGGGGGGGGCGGGCCCGGGGGGGGGGGGTGTATTGTACAGATATATGTGTGTGTGTGTGTGTGTGTCTGAGGGCTGTGTGTGAGGGGAGTTTTACACCACACTGTACGCGGTGGTGGGGGTGGGGTGTGTGCTCCGTATACACAACACGGGGGGGGGGGTGTGTACTGTGTGTACACAGGAGGGGCGCGCGCATGAGGGTGGGTGTGTGTGTGGGGTGTACTGTATATACACAGGAAGGGCGCGCGCATGAGGGTGGGTGTGTGTGTGGGGGGGGTACTGTATATACACAGGAGGGGCGCGCGCATGAGGGTGTGTGTGTGAGTGTGGGGGGGTACTGTATATACACAGGAGGGGCGCGCGCATGAGGGTGTGTGTGTGTGGGGGGGGGTACTGTATATACACAGGAGGGGCGCGCGCATGAGGGTGTGTGTGTGTGGGGGGGGTACTGTATATACACAGGAGGGGCGCGCGCATGAGGGTGTGTGTGTGGGGGGTGTACTGTATATACACAGGAGGGGCGCGCGCATGAGGGTGTGTGTGTGTGGGGGGGTACTGTATATATACAGGAGGGGCGCGCGCATGAGGGTGTGTGTGTGTGGGGGGGGTGTACTGTGTATATATACAGGAGGGGCGTGCGCATGAGAGTGTGTGTGTGTGGGGGGGTGTACTGTGTATATACACAGGAGGGGCGCGCGCATGAGGGTGTGTGTGTGGGGGGGTACTGTATATACACAGGAGGGGCGCGCGCATGAGGGTGTGTGTGTGGGGGGGGGTGTACTGTGTATATATACAGGACGGGCGTGCGCATGAGGGTGTGTGTGTGTGGGGGGGGTGTACTGTGTATATATACAGGAGGGGCGCGCGCATGAGGGTGTGTGTGGGGGGGGTGTACTGTGTATATATACAGGAGGGGCGTGCGCATGAGGGTGTGTGTGTGTGTGTGTGTGGGGGGGTACTGTATATATACAGGAGGGGCATGAGCATGAGGGTGGGTGTGTGTGCGGGGTGTGTACACGAGGGGCGTGCGCAGGAGGGCGTGTGTGTGCGCGCGGGAGGGTGTACACGAGGGGCGTGCGCGGGAGGGTGTGTGTGTGAGGGGGTGCACACACACACACGGTACAATACACCCGTCAATTTGCATATGAACTGCCCTTTAAACATCACATCGGTGCCTCGACCCGTTCAGCTTTCTCCCCCCCCACCACCACCTCCACAGCATCGCCCGCCTCCGCCACTGCCTCGGGCCACCAAGACCCTTTTAGCTTTGACCACTCCAACTCCCAACCCCCTGGACTTCCCAACCCCCTGGACTTCCCAACCCCCTGGACTTCCCAACCCCCTTCCCGCCACACGTTACAGACTATTTGAAACTCTGCGGCTTGTGTCCTCTCCCGCTCTGTGACCCTATCATCATCATAATAATAATAATAATCCTTGCATTTGATATAGCGCTTTTCACGTCGGGAGGACGTCCCAAAGCGCTTCACAGAACACACTGTAAAGTGAATTGACTGTATATTTGTGGGCGAACGCGGCAGCCAATTGCGCACAGCAATGTCCCACAAACAGTCATGGATTGAAAATGACCAATTTATTATTGTTTTGGTTTTTTGGAGGGATTATTATTAGGCGTGTGGAGTAAGGAAACTTGCCCAAGGTTTCGCCCGCCCATCATCATAATAAATCCTTGCATTTCATATAGCGCCTCGTCACATCTTCTGGACGTCTCAAAGCGCTTCACAGAGTATACTGTGAAGTCCATTGACTGTATATTACTTGAGCGAAACGCGGCAGCCAATTGCGCACAGCAGCGTCCCACAAACAGTCGTGGATTGAATGACCAAATGTTTTCTTTGACGGATTATTATCCCCAGAAAGCGATCCGCTGATCGACTAACAACCGGGTTCCTACTTACTGCTCGGTAAACAGAGGCGTGTGGAGTAAGGAAACTTGCCCTAACATTTCGTCCTGCCCGGGAATTGAACCAACCCAGGTCCTCTCGCTTGCGAGGGGAGTGCTCTAAACACTGAGCTACAGGACTCCGCTATCAACCCCATCCTCACCCGGTTTCCCGTCTCCCAGAAGATCGAGTTCGAAATACTCCTTGCTTTTAAAGACCTCCATGATCTTGCCTCCACCCTATCTCTGTGACCTCCGAAAATCTTCCCGACCCGCCCGCCCGCCCCCTCCTCCCGGCGGGCACCGGCCTGCTCCACTTCCCCCTGCCCTGCCCACTCCACCAACATACCTCCAACCCTCTGTAACTCTATCCTGAAGCCTCTCTGCCTTGCCCCCTCCCTTGCCTCCTTCAAGGCCCATCTCAAAAGACTTCCTCTTTTTGACCGTGCCTTCTGTCATCATCCAACCTCCACCATCCCTGCCCTCCACCTCCCTCGAATTCAGCACCCAACTGCGGTACAGACCTCAACTGTCCAGCGCCTTGGGACATCCTCCCCAAGTGAAAGTAAATGCAATTTGTTGTTGAGTATAATTTTCTAAAAAAAATTGAACGTATGTAAAGAGGCACGTTAAGGCGGGGGATGGGGATTAGGTGGTGGGTTGGTGGGGCGGTTATATGGAGACCTCCCAACGCTGACGGCTTTGCCTCTGGTTGCAGTGACTGTTTATTGGTGAGTTACATTGGGTGAGGAGTGAGTTTGATGAGGAGAGCTGAGCGGGCACATGGAGATACCCCACCACACCCTCAGACGCCCGTTGCCGAAACAGGGTGGCAGTGTGGAGAGCCAACGCCGGTCTAACACCAGAGTGGGCTCACTGAAGCCGGTCAGGAACCTCCGCAGGACCCTGAGGAGAAACCGTCCCAACTACACGGTGCACGAGACAGACAACGACATGCTCCTGATCATCTCCAACGAGGAGGAGACGGACAGACGGCCCTCCAAGAAGCTGGGGGTCAGGAGGAGCACTGGTAGGCGGAACCCCAGCCGCAGGGTTAGAGTCAGGCTGCCTCCGAGCTTCTCTCGGCACCGGGTTTCCCTCAAGAAGGTCAGCTCGCGCAGCGCCAAAGCCCTGCACAAGGTGGGGGTGCCGGAGGTGAGGGAGGAGGAGAACGGGCTGCCTGAGGTGGACCGATGGGGCCAGCAGCTGCCCGCCGAGGTCCTTGTGCACATCTTCCACTACATCGTGTCGTCGGAAGGGGCCGTGCCATTCCTGTGCAGGTAAGGCTCTCGCAGAGATCCCGAACCCTCAACCTTACCACTCAAAACCCCCACCCACAGCCTGATCCCCTCTCCACTGCCCCACTCTCCACTGCCCCACACTCAGTCTAACCCCCTCTCCCACTGCTCCAACCCAGCCTTACTCCTCTCCACCCCACTCAAACCCCCCACCCGAGCCTCACTCCCTCCCCCACTGCCCCGCCCCCAGCCTCAACCACTGCCCTGCCCCCCTGCCTTAAATTGGCCACCCTCAAATTTGCCCACTCCCCACTGCCCCACCTCCAACCCTCAACCGCCCCGTCTCCCTCGGCCCCCTCACCAACAGCCACGGATCACACCCAACTGTTCACTGCCCCGACCCATCTTCTCAGCTCCTCCACTGGAGCTCTTTACTCTAATCACATTCCCTGCTCTCTCCCTATCGCTCCCCCGCTGGAGCTCTCTAGTCTAACCCCCATTCCCTGTATCTCAGTGACTGACTCGGCTGCTGTAGGCCTGGTAGCAGCCTGTGGGGAAGGTGAGGATCAAGAACGGTCATTCTTTGTCGAGGGCGAAACCCCAGGGAGGTTTCCTTACTCCACGCGCCTCTGATTACCTGTTCCCTCAATCCATGTCAGTTTGTGGGACACTTGACACGCGTTGCGTCCCACAAAATACACAGTCACTCCACTACGCAGTCACTGGGGGAGGTGACAACGACGCATCAACAACAACAACAACAAATTTCATTTACACAGCGCCTTTCACGTCGGGAGCACGTCCCAAGGCGCTGAACAGTCAGGGATGTGGACCCGAGCTCGGGGTTGGGATCAGGAGGGGTGGAGGGTAGGCTGGGTAGGGAGAGGAGGGTGGCTGAAGGCACGGTCGAAGAGGAAGATCTTGAAACGTGCCTTGAAGGTGGCAAGAAGGGGGCGGGCAGGGGGGTGGTGGTGAGGTGAAGGGACTGTGGGATGGAGATCCAAAGGGTGGGGGTAGAGAGGCTGAAGGCCTGACCCGTCGATGGTGGGTTGGGCGGGGGACGTGGGGCAGGACGGGTTATTATCATTACGCCTGCGGGTAAGAAGTCAGCAGGTCACAGAGGTAGGAAGGAGCAAGGCCATGGAGGGCTTTGAAGGCGAGGACAAGGATTTTGAACTCTTATCCTCTGGGGGATGGGGAGCCAGTGGAGCCGAACGAGGGTGGGGGTGATTTGGGTCACGGAGCCTGGTGTGGGAGAGGACGCGAGCTGCAGAGTTCTGCTCGATCTGCATCAAACGCGGACCGACTCTGGCGTTCAGACAAAATAACCATCCGACCGAGCTTTGTAACCGGTTAGACCCGAAGTGAATGCGTTTCTAAGGGTGTTTCTTACCTGTGTGTTGTGATTTATGCGCGAAGAAGATGTCCTGTACGAGGAGGTCGGTGATAAAGTGAGTTAATTACTTTTTAACTGGAACAGATCAAAGGTGGGCATTGAGTCACTGGACGTTTCTTCACAGACACAGTGTGCGCGGGTGCCCAGCCCAAACCCCACTCCCCCACTCGCTGCCCTCAAACCCTGTAAAATTCCTCCTCTTAATCCCGTCTGGTTCAATTCTGGTTTATGTCCGAGACCCCCACGTTCACACAGGTTTACAGGGAAGGGCAAAAAGAGAGTGCATTTAACCTCCCCTTTAATTCCTCTTTGTGACTATCACCAAGTTTATGCTCCCACGTGACTCAGTCATGATCACATTGCAAATCATTGATCACATTTATCCTGTTGTGAACCCTCAAAAATCATCGCAGCCTCCATCAGGGCATCCTGGTCAGCTCCGGTGACAAGAGCCCCATCTTTTAAAATGTAATAGTTCTTGCATTTGTTATAGCGCCTTATCGCAACATTGAGATGTCTCAAAGCCCTTCGCAGGAAAGCCCTTACACTGGAAAGTGAAGGCGACTGTGTGTATTTTGTGGGCGATACGCGGCAGCCGATTTTGCACAGCAGGGTTCCGCAAGCAGACGTGGAATGAGAGACCATATTTTTTTGACCGCAAGCAAGAGCACCCGGGTTCGATTCCCGGGCGGGGTGGGGGGGGGGGGGGGGGGCGAAATGTTGGGCAAGTTTCCTGACTCCACACGCCTCTGTTTCCCTAGCAGTAAGTAGGAACCCGGGTTGTTAGCCGATTGACGGATCGCTTTTCCGAGGGTAAGAATCCTTTCAAAAAAAATTATAATTTGGTCACTCAATCCACTGTTTGTAGTACGCTGCTGTGGAACCAGAGGGTGGGGGGGGTGGGGTGGGGGTACAGGGTAGGTTTTCACAATGGAGAGATATAAACAGTGACCCCCAGGGAGCAGTGTTAGCGCCACTGCTTTTTTTCCATTTCTACACATGATCTGCATTCTGGTACAATTTGTAAATTTGCAGATAATAACAACAATAATAATCTTTGCATTTGATATAACGCTTTTCACGTCTTCAAAGACGTCTCAAAGTACTTCACAGAAGATGCTGTGAAGTGAATGGACTGTATATTTGTGGGAGAAATGTGTAGCCAATTGCGTACAGCAGTGTCCCGTACCAGTGACTCAAATCTATTATTTTTTTCTTGGAGGGATTATTATCCGTGGAAAGTGATCCGCCAATTAACTAACAAACAGAGGCATATGGAGTAAGGAAACTTGCCTAAGGAAGGTTTCGCCGTGCTCGGGTATTGAATCCAGCAGCAGATCAATGAACCAGCCCAGCCAATTCTTACAGTTTACCAGGTTTTGACAGATCGTTTAACCCCTTTTCCCCGTCCTTGCTCCTTACCTATTAACAGCCTTATTTCCCCAACTATCTAAAAACATCCCAGTTTACTCTGCCTCTGAGGCTGTGAGTCCCACACTCTCACGGCCCTCTGGGTGAGTTAATGCTCCCTCATCTCATCTCTAACAAAATATGTTTTGTCCTCAAAATACATCAAACTTTACAGTATATCCTGCGAAGCGCTTTGAGAAGTCCCAACGTCTCTATAGCATTGTCTTGATAAGGCGCTATATCAAATACAAGGATTATTATTTTAAAAAATAATAATTTGGTCACTCAATCCACGACTGTTTGTGGGACACTGCTGTATGCAATTGGCTGCTGCATTTCACCCACAAAATATACAGTCAATTCACTTTGCAGTGTGTTCTGTGAAGCGCTTTGGGACGTCTCGAAGACGTGATAAGGGAGATTATTATTATTAAGCGTCCTGGCTCTAATGTTAAGACCACTTCCCCTGTTTTCACTCCGACACCAGAGGGCAGAGTCATCCATTCTCAAACTTATCGATTCTTTTTATTATATTATTTTACATACCTCAGTCAGATCAGCCCACAGATTTTGAGCTCACCATTTAAGCCAACCCTCCAGTGCAGTGCTGGTGGGGCGCTGCGTTGTGGAAAGTGCCGTCCTTCGGGTGAGACATTAAACCGAGGCCCCATCTGCCTGTTAAAAGATTCCTCGGTCCAAATCGAAAAGGTGTCCTGGCCGACAATCCCCTCCCCCTCCCCGATAAAATTGGCCATTCACTTCATGGCTGTTTATAGGACATTGCCTACAAAATACAGTCACTACAGGTGACGCTAAACCCTGTGAAGCACTTTGAGATGATATGAAAGGTGTATGAAATGTAAGGATTACGGTTCAGCCGTGATGCCGGGCGAGGACAGGAGTCTTATCTTCCTGTGTCTCGGCACAGCATGGCACGGATTGCCCTGACCGCTGTGCTCTGTGTTACAGGGTGTCGCGAGTTTGCCGCCTGTGGTATGGAGCCGCTGCTAGCCCCAGCCTGTGGCACAGAGTCACCATCGGCTACTGCTGGGTACAGCCCGGTAACCAACAGCTTCCTCCCATTCAGAGAAAGATCCAGAACACTCTCGACTGGCTGCGAGTGGCAAGGTTTGTACAACAACAACAATAACTTGCGCTTTTATAGCACCTTTCACGTGGGTAGCATCTTGGAGCGCTTAATGGTGACGAAGCCTGACCCTGAGCTGAGTGGGAGTTGGGGGGCAAGTTAACAGTCTCTGTCAGGTCCCCCTCTTACCTTCGCTGGTTCAGTGAAAACAGACCCATGTTTTACCTATACCTCCTCAGCCGTGTGGCCTCTCCATTGCTCTGAACTCTGTTCTGTAAACAGGTGGCTACCCAGGTATTCCAGCTATCGCTTAACCAATGGCTTGTGTAAATGTTTCTTCACCTCCCGACCTCTATTGTGGAGTCCTGTGGCTCAGTGGTTAGAGCACTCGCCTCACAAGCAAGAGGACCTGGGTTTGATTCCAAGGCAGGGCGTAAAGTTGGGCAAGTTTCCTTACTCCACAGCAGTAAGTGGGAACCCGGTTGTTAGTCGATTGGCGGGTCGCTTTCCGGGGATAATAATCCCTTTGCATTTTCAAAAAAAAAATTATAATTTAGTCACTCAATCCACGACTGTTTGTGGGACACTGCTGTGCGCGATTGGCTGCCGCATTTGGGCCACTAAATATACAGTCAATTCACTTCACAGTGTGTTCTGTGAAGCGCTTTGAGACGCCTCGAAGACGCGAAAAGGCGCTTTATCAAATGCAAGGATTATTATTATTATTCAGTGCTGCTGCCACCAATGCTCACTTTCCTCTCTTCCAGCCTCTTACAATATGAGCTCTCGAGTACGGAACATTTGAAATGTACAGAGTAGCTTTGCTGAGGTTTGACCAGTGCCTTGTGTTGACATCCTGGCTCAGCCCGGGACCCTGTCAGAATGCTGGCAGCTCCTGTTATCGAGGGCCAGCCGATATTCCGAGTCTCCAATGGACACATTATGACCCTGGAGACCCTCAATCAGCATTGGTGAGAGAGTCGCTTTCCCCCTCGTGCTGAGATGTCAGTGTCTCCAGCATGTCAGTGTACTCGAGCCACCCAGAGGCTCGTTGCTGAGACGTTCAGTGTGATATTCCCTGTTCAGCAACTGCAACAACTTGCATTTATATCGCGCCCTTCACACGGGGTAGCGTCCCGGAGCACTTGACAGTGACGTAGTCTGATACTGAGCCAGGGGGAGAGAGAGTGAGAGGGAGGAGGGAGGTGACCATAAACAATCAAAAAGGAAAGTCTTTAGGTGGGGAGGGAGGGGGGCGAGGTAGAGGGATTGAGGGAGAGATTTCCAGAGTTCTGGGGTGTAATGGCTGAAGGCACGGCCACCGATGGTTCAGTGTGATATTCCCAGTTTATAGGATCATAGGATCTTACAGCACAGAAGGACGCCGTTCGATCCATCGTGGCTGTGTCGCTCCTTGAAAGAGTTACCCAATCAGTCCCACTCCCCCGCTCTTACCCCATAGTCCTACTATTTTTTTCTTTTCAAGTACCTATCCAATTCGCTTTTGAAAGCTATTATCGAATCTGCTTCCACCACTTTTTCAGGCAGTGGGTTCCAGACCGTAACAACTCTCTGGGTTAAAAAAAAAAAAAATTCTCCTCATCTCCCCTTTGCCCCTTGTGCCAATTATCTAAAATCTATGTCCTCTGGTTACTGACCCTCCCTATCTACTGTATAAAAAACCCTCATAGTTTTGAATACCTCTATTAAATCTCCCCTCAACCTTCTCTGCTCTAAGCAGAATAATTCCAGCCTCTCTATTCTCTGTTCAGTGTGATATTCCCTGGTCAACGTGACATTTCCTGCTGTGGTGAGGCAGTGAGCAGGTTGACCTTGTTGAAAAGGAACATAGAGGTTATGTGGTAAAGTGGAGAGTTTTGGGGCCTGTTTAACGGTGAGATGCTCCCTCTCTCTTTTGTCCTGTCCTCGCAGGTTTACACAGCTTCGGGAGTTTTCTCTCTGCCACTGGACCAATCTCGTGGGTTACGTCATGCAGGTCAGGTTTCCAGTCGTCGGACATCCAGACAGGACATTCCACCTGGGAGCCGCCGTCAATTTTTAAAAATTTTAAACTAAATCTATATTTATCGGTAGACATACATCTACACGTATCTCAAAAGGAATCAAATCCCATCACAGAATGAAGAAACGCAATACGCTGTGACAAGTGGAGTGTTGTACCACCCCCCCCCCTCCCCATCTCCCGCCCCCATCCTTTATGGGGAGTGTGGACAGGTTAACGGCACACAGGATGTGCACGTGCTTTTTGGCACGCTCGCTTTAAACGCAGTCGGGAAATGCTCCCGTGCGCACTACGTACATGTGCGTTTCAGCACACACCCCGGTAAGGGGCGCTTGCTGATCACGGATGGCGCCCAGATGTGCACCGTACGCGCACACGATTCCACAACCAAACACCCGGATACGTCGCAACACAGACCATTACAAGTACGCTAAATACCCAACAAGTCCGTTTATAGCTTGCGCCGTGTTATACCAGCAGCAAAAACATGCGTTTATAATTGCGCCCCTCCCCGGGGAAGGGTTGGGGACTGGGGGCATGGTTTGGGTGTCTGGGGACAGCGAGAAGGGGCGGGGGGGCAGCAAGACAGCGGAAACAGTGAAGGTCCCGATCGAGCAGTCTCTCTGATTACTGTTTGGCTGTTGTTTCAGGCTGTGACGGAGTCGTGCCCTCACCTGGTGTCTCTGTACCTCACTAACTGTGTCAGCGTGACCTCCGATGTGTTTGAGCGGCTGGCCACACACTGCCCCAAGCTGGAGAGTCTGAACCTGCAGCATTCTGTGGTAGGTGGCCATGAGACAGACATTCCCCCCCCCGCCCACCCCCCCCACCTTGCCCCCACCTCTCGACCTGCCTTCACTCTGGCCTCTGGGTCAGTCCTCACTCACAGCAGTGTCCCACAAACAGTATATTCTGTGAAGCGCTTTGAGAAGTCTCAAAGACATGATAAGTATTGATGCTGCGGGGGCGCAGTGGCCTGTATTGCTGTTGTGGGTGGGGGGTGGGTGGGGGGCGTTCTGTATTGATCCTGTATTGTGGCTCTGTCCTTGCAGATCGACTCCGCGGCTGTGGTCAGCTACTTGGAAGCTGCCGGCCACAAACTGAAGCAGTTTCGTGTGACCTACAGCACCCGTCTGAACTCCATCTTTAACGCCATTGTGGTAAGTCGGGGGTGGGGGGGAGTTTAAGAGTCAAGAGTCCTGTCAGGTTCCTCTCCAGTCTCCTCCTCCCCCCTCTCCTCTCTGCCCACCATCAGCTGCCGAGCTCGCATTCAGTAACTGCACACCCCGCTGTCTCTCGAGTTCTCAATCCCATTCTCACTCTTCCTCCAACAATCCTTCTCTGGGCTTTCCGTGTGTAGGTGGGATATACGGAAATCTCAGCTCGGTTTGGAGACTCTTTCGCCTGGTGATGGGTTTTCCACATATGTCTGGGTGGGGGGAGGATTGTGTCGGGTGCTGGCCTGTAGCTGTGTTATGGTTCTCTCCCCAGGTTGTGTTGTGCTGTGTGTGTGAGTGGGTGGGGGCTGGGGGACGGGGGGACGGAGATGCCGGCTATATAACTGTATGTTATGGCTATCTCCGCAGGGTGGCTGCTGCACTGAGCTACGGCTGCTGGAGGTGAACACCGAGATCAAACAGAGCAATGCTTACTTCCAGTTCTGTATCGAGTTGCTTCAGGCCAGCTGTCCTAAGCTCCAGGTACCCTACCACTTCTCTTTATTACTCTCACACTGTAACCCTCTCTGTTACTCTCACACTGTAACTGTTAGTCTGTGTGTTGCTCACACTGTACACTAACAATAATAATCCTTGCACTTGATAGAGCGCCTTATCACGTCTTCAAGACGTCTCAAAGTGGCCTGTATTGCTGTATTGCTATCACAGAATATACGGTAAAGTGAATGGACTGTAGATTTTGTGGGTGAAATGCGCACAGCAGCGACCCACAAACAGTCGTGGATTCAGTGACCAAATTATTATTATTTTTTTAAATTTATTTTTATTCTGAAGGGTTTATTACCCCTGGAAAAGCGATCCACCAACAACCGCATCGCTATTTACTGCTGGGTAAACAGAGGCATGCGGAGTAAGGAAACTTGCCCAACGTTTCCCCCTGCCCGGGAATCGAACCCGGGTCCTCTCGCTCTAACCACTGAGCTGCAGGACTCCATAAGTATGTGTGTTACACTGTATAATATAAGCCTCTCTTTTGCTCAAGTTCACGCCTGTCTCTCTCCCCCCCCACCCACACCCCACCCCAGGTGCTGCGGCTGCTGAACCTGACCTGGTTCCCGAAGGGGAGTGGGGTGGCTGTGTCGTCGGGGGTGGGGTTCTGTCAGCTGGAGGAGCTGTGTCTGGCCACCTCCTCCTTCTCGCTGGTCACCGACGAGGTTCTGGGAAAACTGCTGTTCATGTCCTGCCGTCTGCAGACCCTGGACCTGCGCGGCTGTTACCGCATCACTGCCGCCGGACTGCAGCTGCTGCCCTGCCACAGTAAGCCCCGCACCGCCGTCCATTCCCCCCGCCATCCCCTCCCCAACACACACACAAGCCCCCGGCCTTAACCCGTACGTTCCCCTCGCTCCGCTACCCCACCACAGCAAGACCCCTGCTCCGCCACTTCGCCCCACACACAGTTAGCTCCCGCCATACCCTATACCCCTATTCTTGCTACCGCCCCCCCAAGCGCACACAGTAAGCCTTACCCCCTCCCCGCCGCACTAAACCCCCTCCATTGTATCACTGCTCTGTGCTACTCTGCCCTGCCTGAGGACCGACCGATGTCTTGCTTGCAGACTTGGAGAGGCTGTTCCTGGGGCTGTACTGCAGCACCACCAACCTGGTGCTGGCCAAGCAGGGCTCCGAGCAGATGGCCCTGAAGTGGCGTCACTCACTCCGGGACCTGGACCTGACCGGCCAGTGCTACAAGGAGAAGGACCTGGAGCAGGCCATGGGCATCCTAGCCGGGCCCCAGGGCAACCACGTCCTGCGTTCACTCAACCTCGCCGCCACCAAGGTCACTCTGGACGCTATCAGGTAACCGCTTTTGTCCTGGGATTAGAGGAGAGAGCTCCAGTGGGGGAGCGAGCACCAGCACAGACACGATGGGAGAGAGAGAGAGCAGGGAATGGGGTTAGAGAGTTCCAGTGGGGGAGCCAGCACCAGCACAGACACGATGGGAGAGAGAGAGAGAGCAGGGAATGGGGTTAGAGAGTTCCAGTGGGGGAGCCAGCACCAGCACAGACACGATGGGAGAGAGAGAGAGAGCAGGGAATGGGGTTAGAGAGTTCCAGTGGGGGAGCCAGCACCAGTACAGATCCACTGAATCGCCTGTGCTGAGGATGGTGAGTGTGTGCTGACGTGCTGCTGTGTGTGGTCTCTCTCAGGGTGGTGGTGAGCAGCAGCCCAGCGCTCAGCTACCTGAACCTGACCTCCTGCCGCTGCCTGCCGCGGGGACTCAAACGCATCTACCGCGGCGAAGAGGAGATCCGACAGTTTGTCAACAAGCTACTGGCCAGCCGCGAGGACCTCAGCTCACCAGGAGAGACGGAGCGCCGGGCAAGGCACTGAGCCGGGGAGGGGGGGACGAGCTGTAGGACCCCCTCCCTCCTCGCTTCCCCCGGCACGCGTCTCCGGGCGAGCAGTGTGGTTGGGGCACGATGGTGGGGAAAAGAAATGTGTGCGTATCGGGTTCTATAGAGTTGGAAGCACATGGGGTGAACGGAGGATAGAAACATAGGGAACAGCCCCACGCTGGAGCTCGCTCCACTCCATTCCACTCCACGGTGTGCAGCAATAAAGTGGTTATCCAACTGTTCCTGCTGTGCCTCAGCCTCCTGCCTGCCGCAACCTCCCCCTCCTCCCCCACTGACCCCCCCCCCCCCCTTCTCCCCTGCCCTCTCCACCACCCTTCCTTCCTTCCTTCCTCCCTCCCCTCTACCCCACCTTCATCCCCCCCTCCCCCGCCCTCCACAGCTCAGTGGGGGAACATGTGGGGAAAGTGTGTCTCAGGTGTGTGTTTTGTAGAGTACAGGCAATTGCTTTTTTTTTAAAATGCTGGTCTGTGCTGGTGTCCATCAGCCTGCGTTGTCCTGGTTTGAGCAGAGCTGATGTATAATGTACATATTACATTATGGATTTGTGTGTAGCTGTTAATGTGGGATTATAATCAAGAATTAGAGACTTGATTTGGGGCAGTGTTTTTTTTTTCTGTTTGACCTGGTGATCCAAGGGATTTAACTAAAGAAAGACTTTTATATTCTGAAGTTTGAAGGCATTTTTCTTTCAGGTTAGCCAAGTGTGACACACACAGAAACTCATCACTGTGATCAGCCCGGTGTCTGACACACCAAGGAAATCCGTCACAGTGATCAGCCGGGTGGCTGAAACATGGAAACCCATCACCACGATCAGCCGGGTGTTTGACACACATGGAAATCCGTCACCGTGATCACCCGGGTGTCTGACACTCGTGGACACCCAGCACCGTGATCACCCGGGTGTCTGACACTCGTGGACACCCAGCACCATGATCAGCCGGGTATCTTAACACATGGAAACCCATCATCACGTTTATGAGTGTGAAGCAGACAGTTTGACATATTCCATCTATACGTGGAGATTACATGTGTATAGCGCCTTTCACGTCGGGAGGACGTCCCAAGGCACTGGACAGTCGGATTTGGACCCGAGCTGGGTGTTGGGATCAGAAGGCATGCAGGCAGAGAGGGTAGGGGGAGGGTGACCGAAGAAGAGGAGGGTCTTGAGATGGGCCCTGACGCAGGCGAGGGAGGGAGGGAGGGAGCGAGGGGAAGGGATGAATTTCAAAGGGTAGGGCAGAGTGTGTGTAGAGAACAGGGTCCTGTCTGGCACAACCCCCGAGTCTCACACCCCCCCCAACCTTCCTGCAGTCAATCTGAGCCTTCAAGCCTTTCTGTTGCATATTAGAATTTATTTACATGTGTGTGTGCATATATATATATATCTATTATATATATTACATGTATAAAAATAGTGGTTATGGAGGAATGTTCTGGGCCTGATGGTGAGAAGATTTGGCACTCACTTCAGTGTTGCCTTTTTGTGGGGAGGGAACGATGAAAGTTCTAAGGAACTGAAGCTTTCTACTCTAATCCCATACTTTTCCCAACATGTCTGAATTACTATTTTATTTTTAGGATTGCTCAATCAATATAATGACACATTCCCGGTGAGGGGTTGTGCCATCATTTGCCCAGAAACCTTTTCCGTGCCTGCTCTGTGGGCGGGCAGTGAAGCTGCTGTTCTTTCTTTCTCACTGGTGACCCACTGGCTTCTCACCTGGCCTCCCCCAGAGCCACTGGCACCCAACACATGTAACTGCACTCACCACTTGAGGAGCGAGGAATTCTCAGGACCAGAGCGCGGCTGAAGTCTAGAGCGGGCTCGCCGATGGAATCCTCACTCTCTGTTCGAGACAATTCTTGAACTGCCAAACACATTACACAGTCACAGCAGAGGAAGAGGCCATGCACAGCAAGAAGTAAGTCACCCCTCCCCTGATCTGGATCTCCAGATGCCAGGAGGAGAATAGTCACTATATAGTCATTTGACATCTAACCATAACAACAACAATAATAATCCTTGCATCTCATATAGGGCATTATCACGTCTTCGAGAGGTCTCAAAGTGCTTCACAGAATATACTCTAAAGTGAATTGACTGGATATTTTTGTGGGCGAAATGCGCACAGCAATGTCTCAGAGGTGAAGTTACAATTTTGTAAGTGAAAAGCCAAACTGAATTTTACAATTTTCCGATAATTGCAAAGTTTAAGCCAAAGAAACGTTTTAAGAAAAAAAACAGCATGTTGTGTTGTTTAGTCCGAAGGCCATGGTGATATTCTGAATGTGAGGTTGTTAAGGTACTGTATGACCAGCCGCAGGCCGGGATAGACCACAACAACAACTTGCATTTATATAGGGCCTACAGGGTACAGGGTAGCACCCCAGAGTGCTTGACAGTGGCGCAGTCTAACAATGAATCAGGGTGAGAAGGAGGGGAAAGGTGACCTTAATCACAATTGAAAAGGCAGCATTTGAAAGTGGGGAGAGAGACGGAGGGATTGAGCGAGAGAGTTCTAGAATTTCAGGGTCTAGTGGCTGAAGGCACAGCCCACCGATGGTGGAGCGGAGGACACGAGGGACGAACAGGAGGCCGGAGCAAGCCAACAGTAATAGATTGGGAAGTAAGCAGATCGGAGAGGTAGGGAGGTGCCAGAGCATGAAGAGATTTGAAGCACAGGTATGAGCCCTCACTAGCTGGAGATAGATACCCTCACTAGGTGGTGGCTACTCCCTGCGAACTTCTGGGTGAGCAGCATAACTCAGCATGAAATGCATGAGAGCATTGCCACCATCTTCCTGCCCACTTTTCTCCAATAACCTTCCTGCTTCCTGCCGTGCTTGGTTTTAAGTTACCTAAGCAGAAGTTCAAGCTTGCTCCAAGGAAGCTTTTAGTACTACTTTAAAGGCCCCCTGCTTTCGCCTAAAAGCTCTCCCCACTTTTGACAGGCACCGTTTCAAGGATGAATGGCTGTAGGCTCAGCTTCAGTTTCCTTACTACCTTAGCGCCTTGGCTACAATCAATAATTATGGTAGAGAGCGCCAATTGGGGAGCGAGCACCAGCACGGACACGATGGGGAGAGAGAGCAGGGAATGGGAATTAAGAGTAGAGAGCTCCAGTGGGGGAGCGAGCACCAGCACAGACACGGTGGCGAGAGAGCAGGGAATGGTATTAAAGTAGAAAGCTTCGGTGGGGGAGAGGACACCAGCACACACACGAAGGGGAAAGAGCAGAGGTTTAGAGTTCAGTGCTCCAGTGGGAGAGGAAGTAACAGCACAGGCCATATGGACTGAATTGCCTTTTTGCTGTTATCTCTGTGACCATCATTGTAAAGCAACGATGATCATATAACTGAGCAACCCCGATAATAAATTGTAAAGACAGGTGACAGGTACCAACCAGGAAGTGAATCTTCGCTGATTTGACATGAATTGCTCGCTTCAGTCTGTTCTTCATCAGTTTCCATCACCTCCTCCTCTGGTGGCTTGCCTGAGCTGTGAGCATTTGCCAGAGAGTCTCAGATTGTGGGCAGCCTTCCCATGGTGTCAACATCAAGCTTTGTGACACAGAAGAAAGCCAATGATGCAAGCAGACTTGTCCTGCAGTCACAGGGCTGCTCTGCTTCATTCAGTCAAAACAGATTATTGCGGGGACGGACCTTTACACGAAAAAGTGTAAAGAGCAACTCTTGAGCAGCTTTCCACGATCATGGACATCAAAGAAAACCATTCAGCCCGTGTGTCTGTGCCGCCGCTCTCCCACTGGAGCTCTCTACTCTAATCCCATTCCCTGCTCTCTCCCCATCGTGTCTGTGCTGGTGCTCGCTCTCCATTGGAGCTCTCTACTCTAATCCCATTCCCTGCTCTCTCCCCATCGTGTCTGTGCTGGTGCTCGCTCTCCATTGGAGCTCTCTACTCTAATCCCATTCCCATTCTCTCTCCCCATCTCTCCTGGAGCTCAGATGTTGATTGTCCAATCCAGTGAATTTATTCTGTTGCTCCTGTGTGTAAAGAATTAAGTGATATTTTTATAGAGCCTTCTCTTGTCGCAATATCTCAAAGACTGCTATGGACAGCGCTCAGAAAGCACAGCGCAAAGGAAACCCATGGTCAGTGCTGCAACCAAGGCTTCCTGTTCATTTCACCCCATCTTCTTGTTACTGATAAAATCCAGTCTGATCCTTTTCACTCCGATCTTTAACATATTGTGGGTGAGATTGATCACACAGTATTGACCAGGATTCTCAAACTCCATGGGGGGTTATTTTGTGTGATTTTAAAGTGAAAGTTCTTTTACAAATATTGTTCAATCAATGTATTTTGGGCTGCCGAGAGCAAACCTACTGAGAAGCACTCAACCAACAGACAGTCAGGCATTCCACTCCTGTTTTCGGGGGGGGGGGGGGGGGGGGGCACGGCTCGCTCTGGCTTAACGTCAGATCTCAACCAGGGGCAGGGGGCTGGGCTGTGCTGAGTGACCGATCTCAGCCGGGGGTCGGGTGGGAGGTGTGTGGGATGCGAGATTGTGCAACATTTTCAAATATCCGTATGAATATGATTCCAAAGAAACCAATTGCAAATGGACATGAGGTGGCGCCATTATTCACAGAATGGTGATACTGTGCTGTGATGTGAAGTGGAGTCTGAATTATCAACTTCTCCTTCTATATTTGTCATCCTCACTCATTCCCCACATAGGGAGAAGATTGTAGATAAACTGAGGGTAGACTGAGAGGGATGGACCGGGGATAAACTGAGGATAGGGACTGATTGGGGATAGCCTGAGAAGATAGATGGGGGGATAGAGGAGGGGACAGACAACAACAAGTTGCATTTATAATGCACCGCTCACGCGGGCAGGCATCTCAGAGTGCTTGGCGGTGGCTGAGCAGGATGCCGAGCCGGGGGGAGGGGAGGGGCAGGTGACCGTAGGCACGATCGAATAGAAAGATCTTCAGGCCCAACCTGAAGATGAGGAAGAAAGGGGCAAGATGGAGGGATAGACTGAGGGGATAGACAGGGGATAGACTGAGGGGACAGACAGGGGAAGGAGGGATGGACAGAGAGTTGAATGGAGGGGGAATTGAGGAAGGACGGCAGGAAGGCCAGTCATTGCATTGGTGGAGGGAGAGCAGAAAGAAGAAGGGAGGAATGAACGCGCTGAGAGACAGACACTGATTGGCACAGACAAAGGATGTTCCACTGTGTCATAAAGCCCTTCATCTTGGAGCACTTAGCCATGAGGTAGCAGAGGTGGGGAGGAGCAAGGCCATGGAGGGCTTTGAAGATGGAGGACCGGGATCTTGAACTGTATCCTCTGTGTAATGGGAAGCCAGTGGAGTCGGGCGAGAATGGGATGATAGGTGCGGGAGAGGACACAAGCTGCAGAGGTCTGGATGATCTGCAGCCTATGGAAGGAGGAGTTGGGGAGGCCGACAAGCAACGAATTTGCGCAGTCGAGCCTGGATGTTATAAATGTGCATATGAGGGTTTTGGCGGCCTGCGGTGTGAGACAGTGGCAGAGCGGGGCGATGCTGCGGAGGTGGGGGAAGGCAGAGCAGGTCATGGCACGGATGTGGGGTAGAAAGGATAGTTGAGAGTCAAACAAGCCATCTTAAAAAGGTTGCTGTTCAGGATAAGTCATATTGGAGTCCTGTAGCTTAGTGGTTAGATCATTCGCCTTGCAAGTGAGAGGACCCGGGTTCAATTCCCGGGCAGGGCGAAACCTTAGGCAAGTTTCCTTACTCCACACGCATCTGTTTACCTAGTAGTAAGTAGGAACCCGCTTGTTAGTCAATTGGCAGATTGCTTTTCCGGGGGTAATAATCCCTTAAAAAAACGGGGTGACACAGCAGTGTCCCACGACTGTTTGTGGGATAGTGCTGTGTGCAATTGGCTGCCACGTTTCGCCCACAAAATCCACAGTCAATTCACTTTTACAGTATATTCTGTGAAGCGCTTTGAGACGTCTCAAAGACACAATAAGGCGCTATATCAAATGCAAGGATTATTATGAGAAATCCCACCTTAATATCAACCAGGTGCCTATGCTCCTCCCTGCTCAGTGTCCTGCCCCACCGCTGTGGAGAGTGCTCCAGTGTGACAGGCGATGTATAAATTCAAGTTGTTGTTGACGAAACGTCCTGAGGAGAGCTTTTGAAATTGGGGAGGGGCGGGTAGATGGGGTTCCAGAGAGTTGGGGCAGAATAGCTGAAACTGAAATTGTCCTTTACAACTCTAAACCTGTATCCTCTTGTTCTACTGTCTCATTGCTTCCCAAACTATTGATCTGGGTTTTCCTCTTTCAATTCCATTTAAAATTTTATACAAATCTAAAGATAGGGGGTGACCATATTTCGTAAAACAAATCCAGGGGCACCTTGAACTCAAAATTGGAACTCGCCACAATTGCCGAGGCTGGAAGTTACTGGAGAAGTGTGTTGGGTTAACGGCTGTGTTTCTCGGACGAGTGTCTTCGGTTTTAGGATTGTATTGTTCTTGCTCGGTTTGCTGCTGAACTCAAGACAGGGCACACATGCTCATCCGAGGCACGTCCCCAGGAATCAGGTACAGCCGCAATGACCAGAGCTGTGTGCAAGTACTCCTCAAGATCCTCTTCAAATCTCTTCAAGGCTTGCTACCCGCTACCTCCGCTCAACAAGCTTCTTGCTTATCCCTCATGCCCTCCGTTCCACCATTGGCGTCCACATTTTTAGCCACGATATGCCCTGAAACTCTGAAACATTCTCCCTCTATCTCTCCATCTTGCCTGCCGTTCCCCATCTTCAGGGAGGGGGTTGCTGATGGTCAGGGAGGGGGTTGCTGATGGTCAGGGAGGGGGTTGCTGATGGTCAGGGAGGGGGTTGCTGATATCAGAGAAGCGTTGAAATGGGTCAGGGAGGGGTTTGCTGATACAAAAACGGAAGTTGCTGGGAACACTCAGCGGATCAGGCAGCAGCTGCGGAGAAAAGAAAGTGAGTCAACATGTCAGGTTGGGATTGCGAGAAAACAGGGGACAAGAGGAGATCATAATGCAAAACAAAAGGGGGGAATATTGCAACATAATAGGCGGACCAGAGAGAGAAAAGGTGTGTGTGTGGCACCAGGTGATGTGGCAATGGTCACAGAAGAGGGGAAAGGGGAGCTGTTGTGGTCTGAAATTGTGGCAATCAATATTGAGCCCAGAGGACTATAAGGTCCCGAGGGGGGTGATGGGGGGGGGATGGTGGGGGGGAGGGTGGGGGGGGGGATGGTGGGGGGGGATGGGGGGGATGGTGGGGGGGTATGGTGGGGGATGGGGGGTATGGTGGGGGTATGGTGGGGGGATGGGGGGGTATGGTGGGGGATGAGGGGGTATGGTGGGGGATGGGGGGGTATGGTGGGGGGGATGGGGGTGTATGGTGGGGAATGGGGGTATGGTGGGGGTATGGGGGGGATGGTGGGGGGTAGGGGGTGGGGATGGGGGGTATGGTGGGGGGGATGGGGGGTGGGGGGGATGGTATGTGGGGGGGATGGGGATGGTGGGGTGGATGGTGGGGGGGGATGGGAATGGGGTATGGGGTGGGGGGTATGGGGGGAGGGATGGTGGGGGGGGGGTATGGGGGGGGTGGGGATGGTGGGGGGTGTATGGGGGGGGGTGGGATGGTGGGGGGAGGTGGGGGTGGGTTGGGGGGGGGTATGGGGT